CGGAGAAAGGGGCGAGGGGCATCAGAGTAAGATATACCGGGAGAGTTAAACAGGTTATTATTTTGATGCATCCTTTTCGTTCGATTGTGTTCTCCGAAAATAGGAATATGGTTTTGATACGATAACATTTTTAAAATGACAGTAATATATTGAAAAGTCTTGATAAAACATATATACGTTTGTACACGCAACTGCGTTGTTGAGACAATTATAGCTACTCCACCGATTATACAGCCTGTGCATGACATCCAAATCTTAGAAATTTTTTTTTGTATATTGATCGATACAATTTAGGTTCGTGTTTTTCCATTTGTTTTCACTCCAATGTGTGTCTCAATATTTATTCACAAGAAAAGCCGTGGCATTTTATAGTCTACCTTAATAATTAACGTGTAATCCGTGTCTCTTTATAATAACTACGTCATGAAAACCAACTGAAGTATAATCTTAAATTTTAGGGGTCTTTTTGTTAAATTGTGAATGGAAATGGGGATTGTGTCAAAAGGCCGCCAATGGGTCTTTTACACAGCGAGAAAATTTCGCAGGCGGGCTTCAGCTGGCCCCTAAACAAAAATGTATACTAGTTCAGTGAAAATGGACGTCACACTTAACTCCGAAACATATGAATGAACTTAGATTAAAAAAATATTCAAGACTAACAAAGGCCAGAGGCTCCTGACTTGGGACAGGCGCGAAAATGCGGCGGGGTTAAACTTGTTTTGTGAGATCTCAATCCTCCCACAGGCGCAAAAGTGCGGCGGGGTTAAACATGTTTTGTGTATTTTTTCAGTTACACTTATTTTCAAAACTTTTTTGCGTCCCCAATTCTTTTTAAGAAGAATTTCTTTCGTTTTTTGAGCCTTGTCCAATATTTGTTTTGCAATTTTCATCTAAGCGTGGAGTAGAAAGAAACACGTCACTACGAAATTTTTCGATAAAGAGACGATTAAAAACTCTATCATTCCTGAAATTTGTCCCTCCTCCTATTGTATCCGTCTCGTCCAATACGCGAGCGTTTCTGTTTGGTTCGTCACTGTTCCATTTTTTGTGCTGTAGTTGCATAGAATTTCGACCAGTATACTGTTCACACCAATCAGTACATCTCCTAATTGTACTTGTGATTTCTGTCCATTGAATATCAAGCATTTGCAAAGTATATTCTTTGTTGTCACGTGGGGCTGCATTAAGTGCAGAAAGGCTGAATGTATGCTCTGTTATGTTGAATTTAGGTATTGCGTACAAGTGGTTTTCAGACAACGCTTTGATCAGTGTATAAGGATTTTCATACTCAGGTATGCAATAATCTTCTTCTGAAGAATTGTCTGACGAGTGATCCGAGTTTCTTGTACATCTTCTCATTTGCACAATTTCAAAATAGTCAGGAATCATTGCACTTTCATCGATTCTGGTGTACAAAGATACAGGTCGGCTCTCAAAGTCAAATCCATTTGATTGTACATCGTCTGTACTGTTGTTCCTTTGTTGGAATTGGTAATTTCCATGTTTTGACATTTTATGCTTTCGAAAATGAGTAAAAATACAAACAAAGGTAACAGTTAATAAGACACTTATTCCAACTACAGGAGATAAAACGAGTGTGTACCGTTCTACAATATCTGTAAAATACAAGCATATGATTATATATTCCATACATTTAGTTTGTACTAAAGTTTCTTAAATCTCCATTTGGTTTGTCACAAAGAAAGACAAGTACGGTATGCACGTATGTCAACGGAACAGAAATTCAACGACGCAAAAAAAAAAAAACAAAACAAAACAAAAAAAAAAAACGAACTAAAACAACAACAAACAAAATAAAGAACACAAAAATTGCACCATGAGATTAAAAAACAGACCGATAATATATATGCACTGTGTGCGTTAATTTTTTTCATTTGACATGCGAATACTCATATCAAAGTAAGTCGAATTCAATATTCTACATAATTTGTTATATAAATAGACTTGGATGTCTTTTTATTGTTTTAAAAAGACTTAATGCTGCCCTCTAGTTGTCGTTAGGGTTTTGTTGTATTTTAGTTGCTGTCTCGTTAACTTATATTCCACACCTCCTTCAATTTCAAGTTGAAAATATATAAAAAGACAGCATATAATCGATTACAAATTTAAGGAAAATCATCTAACAATTTTAGGGCCTTTTAATAAGAAGAAAGGAAAAGAGTTAATGAATGAAATTATATTCGATAATTATTTTCTTTAGATAAAGAACAGTTATTCGTTAATCTGAGCATATAACTAATAATTCATATGATGGTCTGTAAATGTAATCACATTGAAAGAAAAAAGAAAGATAAAATGTTTTTTTTTTTTCCAGCAATTTGTCACAAATTGCGTTGAATGTCAGTAAAACATGTGTTCTCCGAAAATTGTAAATATTTTGTAGTCCATCATGCGTTGCAACTCATTCACTTGATTGATGAATGACCTATGAATTTGTTTTTTAGTACTATGTAATCAAAGAATTATATTTGCGGTAACCTTAGACTATGCTACTATATGCATACCCGTATAAGGTAGTGAACCCGAACTTTTATTTGGCACTTTAATTCGATCCAACACACTATCTGCAATTACAGTTTTGAATTGCAAAACGTAACCTATCTGCATAACACTTTAATCTAATGATACACACAATGATTATTATCAATATTACCTGGAACATAGTAGCGTGACACGTTTCTCGAATTTTTTGTACCTAAGATTTAAGAACAAAATATATATTAGGATTCTCCTAGTAAAATACACAACACATTTCAAACGTAAACTCATATATATGCAAATACACTATTGAAATATCGGGCTTACTATACATTCCGTATGGCGTCTTTTGTGTTATTATTTGTTAAAGGTAGTTGTCATCATGTTGGTAGTTGCTCTGTGCAGGAATTGTTGTTATTATACTAGTACTTATTATAAGATTTTGATTGGGTAGTACGTTACGTCAAATGCTTACACAGATAACATCTTGGTTCACTCTTGTAACTTTTTGTTATTATTGACAACTGCAAGTTAGTTATGTTAAATCTCATCTACGTCTACAATTATACAGAGAGTTGAGTGTTGGTGAACTTTGCAGTATGATTGACGTTTCCAGTTTTCGCTCTCATGTAGCATATGTATGAGAAAGTAGTTGCGCCTTTTTTTGTCTTTTTATGATGTATTAAGTTTGTTTACAATGACAACTTACCCAGAACATTCAAGTAAAAATCTTCAAAAACATATCCATATGAATTAGAAACATTACATTGGAAAACCATTCTATCCATTATATTCACATTGGAAATGACAGCTTTGTTTGGATAAGGTATTCTAATCTTTCCCAATATCACAGCAGGATGTCTGGAAACTGCAAAAGACATTTTTAAAGCGTTGTTTTCATATTTTCTCTACACAACGAGTAAGCGTTTGTTTCAAGAAACACATGGTATTAATTTGTTAAAATAAATCAACATGTATCTACGTTTTACCGTTTGATGTTTAATATTTGTCACATACCTAGATAAGCGTATGATCGAATGTTAACTTAAATAAATAACACTAGTGGACATAAACTGCACAATCTTTCGCAGCGCATTACATAACGATCACGCTCGATGTATGGTTCCTGTTGCTCAATTTCAAGTGTCCAATGCAGTGTTTTGAGGACTGTTTTTTTTTACTAATGGTATTTGTTTTCTTTTTTGTCATGTTGTTGTCTGGTAATATTCCACTGATGGATTTTGATACCAATCTTTGTATCTTTTCTCCTCTCATTTTTATACAGTACTGACAATTTTGTGTTCGCCAGAGATCGTATATTTTTAATGTTTGTTACATACCTTTTAATGTTTCTCCATTAATGAACCATTCAATGCCTAGCATTGGTAATCCAGTTGCATTGCAATAAAAAGTAACTGAGTCGCCGTCGTTAGCAGTAACACTTTCTGGTTTTCTTTCCATCGACCAGTGAGGTGCAGCTATAAATAAAACATGTTCGTTGTCATGATGTATACAGAAAAACGCTTTAAATTTATTTCAAAACTAAAAAAAAAAAAAAAAAAACAAGTGACAGATATGTCCTTTGAAAATAATTTTGACTTTTCAATTTTTATGACTACGATGTTAGATCATATATATATATATATATATAGATATAAGAAGATGTGGTATGAGTGCCAATGAGACAACTCTCCATCCAAGTCAAAATTTATAAAAGTAAACCATTATAGGTCAAAGTACGGTCTTCAACACGGAGCCTTGGCTCACACCGAACAGCAAGCTATAAAGGGCCCAAAAAAATTACTGGTGTAAAACCATTCAAACGGGAAAACCAACGGTCTAATCTATATAAAAAAACAAGAAATGAGAAACACTTATGAACCATATCAACAAACGACAACTACTGAACACCAGATTATGCATGTTACTGTGTCTTAACTAACAACACACAAATTTGTGCAGTCTTAGATCTGTATTTACTGATTGTGTCTTACTCTAAATTGTGACCTTTTGAATGCATAACTGCATTTCTGTTGTTACGTGTACATTCACAGCAGGAGACGTTTTACTTGTTCACACACCCTGTTTCGCTCTGTTTTGGAGTGTATGTAATATGTAGTTTATTAATTGTTTTTGTTTTTATACTTTTAATGGATTATCGAGATTTGAAAATCGTTAAGATCTCAGATCCTTAAAATTCTGTCATGCTTGGGCCTGATATAGCTAGCTATACGTTGTGATTATTGCTTATCGTTCTGAAGGCCATGCGATAACTTGTAGTTGCTTTCATTCACATCATTTTGTATTTTGTGGATAGTTGTCTGTTCGGCAATCCTGTCGTATCTCTCTTATACAAAAAAAGGCCAGCAAAATTTTGTAAAAAAAAACCAAAACAAAACATAAAAATCAAAAACAGCAAACACCATTACATGCTTAGCAATACAATACATATACAACATGTATTAGGTTTAGAATACCCGTTACCCAAGAAATGGGAATGATCAAACTCCATTGATAGGTAATAAATAATATAACAACTTGCATTTTATATCAACATTTATGAACTTTTCCTTTATTGGGTCAACTGAATTTGCTGCAGAACACTTGTAAGTGCCGATATGTTGTTCAATTTGAGGTTTCGGTATGAGAAGTTCCTGTCCGTGATGAAGATATTCCCATCCAAAACTGTGCTCGTGTTCATTTCTGAAATGCCAGGTTATGTTTGGAATAGGACTGAAAAAAACACCATTAAATGGGTTGTAACAACTGATTTGAATAATCATATAAAATGTGTCTCCCTGATTTGTATTTTTTCTTAATATCTCCATTTCACGATCACATACTGTGATTCGGGACAAAATAATACACTTAACCTTAATATCATAGCTTTGTTTAGTTTTCAAATGAGGGAAAATATGTAACCCGGATTAAAGTTCCTCGTGTTTACTTTTCTGTATTATTTAGTTATTCTGTTTTGTTTATTTATTCTGTTTTTTTTTTCTTCTTTTCAATTTATTAAACTGTAAATCCTTGTCTCCTTTGTTAATGTTTTATTAAAAACAGCATTGGATAAAAAAAAAAAACACTTTATTTACTTTCATCCCGTTCCATAGAGGAACTATCAACTGTGCTTTGATATGGATCAAAAAGGGGAATTTAGATCATTGTTTTTTATGTTAGCGATATTGCAAATGAATTTGAATTCAGAACATTACAAAGGGAAAATTTAAAGATGTTACATAAAACCCATTGTCATTCTTATGAACGTCAACACTACAGTCCATGTAGGCACGCAAACGTATTCCGAGTGGTTTGCCCTACATATACATGATATAATAACAGTGTCAATCAGATATGGATTCAGTAACTATCATCGTATTGGAACTGTTGAATTAAACTTTACAGATAAACTCACATTGATACCAGGATTAACATCTTGTACGCCAGACGCGCGTTTCGTCTACAAAAGACTCAAGAGTGACGCTCGAATCAAAAACGTTTAAAAGGCCAAATAAAGTACGATGTTGACGGGCATTGACGACCTAAATTTTCTACATGTAAATGCTTCGCCAAATACAGCTAAGGTAATCTGTTTCTTGGGTAAAAGATCCTTAGTATTTCGAAAAATTCTAAGTTTTGTAAACAGTTAATTTTTATTTATGACCATTATGATATGTCACGGAAGATGCATACATATAGTCTATTCTATTTCGAGTGCTGTCTTTTACAAATGAATATACCTGAACTGTTCTTGGTATAGACTTAACATCGATATCTGCTACAGGTATATTAACTTATTTCATATATATATATATATATATATATATATATATATATATATATACACTATTGGATACAGTACTTGTGTACACTTACTTTCCACCAAATATACACTTCAAAATAAGTCTTTGTCCCTCCAAACCAACAGTTGAGCTTCCTGAGAACCACAAGAAATGAATAGGTACATGTACACGACCAGTCTCACCTATAGCATACCACAAGCATAGATTATTAAGATAAATTTGTTCATATTGTATATAAGTCTGCCAATGAGCGATTTAATCAAAAGTATGGAGTTCAAAAACAAGACGTTTTGCGGATCAATATATTGGACGATAAATTGATTATACATTTTGAAAACTACGGGCTGTTGTTTATGACAAATTGAATAAAACTTTCTCATTCTTCTTGAGAATGAAGTTAGTAAAAACAACTCATCATAGATACCGGGCTTATCATTTTTGCCAGACGCGTATTCGTCTATACAAAACTCGTCCATGACACTCGAAATAAAAACAGTTGGAAGGCCAAATCGTAAACAGATTAAATACAAAGTCTGAAATTCGGAAAATATGAATAGTTGTCCTAAACACTGTAAGGCTAAATTATACTTAAGTTAAAAAAATCTTGAGTGTTTCGATTAGATCAACATTTTATATACAGTAAATCTACAGCAAATAAACTAATTCAAAATATTTAATTTCAACACTAAAGTGTTGACAACTGGGCTAGTGATACCTCGGGGAACAAAACGGTCACCAATAGTGTTTGTTCCTTCGTCGTTTTTATTTTTGTTTTTTTTTTTGTGTGTTTTTTATTGGATTTTCGTTTTCCCAAATTTCATCTGTTGCTTTTTTCAATTTAAAAGTGTATAAAGGAATTCTTAAAACGTTGTTAGCTACATATTCGGTTGCTATATAACATGATATCAACAAGCACTCTGAAATCCTTAGCTCTTACATGAAAAATTGTCACAACTTCTTAGAGGCTGAACAACAGTTCCGTTAGAATATACTGTTTGGTTGGTAATTGGATTTGTCGCTATACAAACATAGGATTTTCCTCCGTGGTAGTCATTTTCTTCGACACTTATAATGAAAAGATTACCTAAAAAAAAAATTTTTCACTCGATATGTAGAACTGATTAAAAAAATTGAAAGTATAAAAATAAGAAGATGTTTGCATGTCTCTTAGTCTCTAGCTGGGTATATTCATATATGTACCCCTCGTCTTACAGCTCATTGGGGCCTCGATGGACAAGTGGTCTATGTAGTCCAACTACAGTATCAATAATCTGTAAACACTGAAATTGTGAGTTTTAATCACGCACGTGGCAGGTGTGCGGGACTCTAATTTTAATTGACTACGATTACCTTCTTCCTACCGAAAGTAGGTGGTTCTCTCCTGGTACTCCGGCTTCCTTCACCTATAAAACTGACCACCACAAAATTGCCAGTAGTGCTGAAAGTGGCATAAAACACCAATCAACCAATCAATCTGACAGCCAAACAAAATTTATACTCAGCTTATGTATTTTGTTGTGCAGTTTAATGTAAAATTTATGAGCTAATAAGTAAAAGTTATTATTTGAACGCATTATTTTCTCTTGAAATATATCTGAAGTATTTTAAAAAAATGTATTAGAGGTACTTATCGTGACTGTTTTCGGTCATAAGTTAACCATCTATAATTAATAAACTGTGCTTTGATATGGATCAAAAAGGGGAATTTAGATCATTGTTTTTTATGTTACCGATATTGCAAATGAATTTGAATTCAGAACATTACAAAGGGAAAATTTAAAGATGTTACATAAAACCCATTGTCATTCTTATGAACGTCAACACTACAGTCCATGTAGGCACGCAAACGTATTCCGAGTGGTTTGCCCTACATATAAATGATATAATAACAGTGTCAATCAGATATGGATTCAGTAACTATCATCGTATTGGAACTGTTGAATTAAACTTTACAGATAAACTCACATTGATACCAGGATTAACATCTTGTACGCCAGACGCGCGTTTCGTCTACAAAAGACTCAAGAGTGACGCTCGAATCAAAAACGTTTAAAAGGCCAAATAAAGTACGATGTTGACGGGCATTGACGACCTAAATTTTCTACATGTAAATGCTTCGCCAAATACAGCTAAGGTAATCTGTTTCTTGGGTAAAAGATCCTTAGTATTTCGAAAAATTCTAAGTTTTGTAAACAGTTAATTTTTATTTATGACCATTATGATATGTCACGGAAGATGCATACATATAGTCTATTCTATTTCGAGTGCTGTCTTTTACAAATGAATATACCTGAACTGTTCTTGGTATAGACTTAACATCGATATCTGCTACAGGTATATTAACTTATTTCATATATATATATAAGTTATTATTTGAACGCATTATTTTCTCTTGAAATATATCTGAAGCATTTTAAAAAAATGTATTAGAGGTACTTATCGTGACTGTTTTCGGTCATAAGTTAACCATCTATAATTAATAAACTGTGAGTTTTAATCACGCACGTGGCAGGTGTGCGGGACTCTAATTTTAATTGACTACGATTACCTTCTTCCTACCGAAAGTAGGTGGTTCTCTCCTGGTACTCCGGCTTCCTTCACCTATAAAACTGACCACCACAAAATTGCCAGTAGTGCTGAAAGTGGCATAAAAACACCAATCAACCAATCAATCTGACAGCCAAACAAAATTTATACTCAGCTTATGTATTTTGTTGTGCAGTTTAATGTAAAATTTATGAGCTAATAAGTAAAAGTTATTATTTGAACGCATTATTTTCTCTTGAAATATATCTGAAGCATTTAAAAAAAATGTATTAGAGGTACTTATCGTGACTGTTTTCGGTCATAAGTTAACCATCTATAATTAATAAAAACGATTTATTTGTTTTTGAAAAATTGACAAGACACATATAACGGTCATGTATATTGCTAAATTTAATAACCTAAAAAATCTGTTGATATAGCGCTTGTAAAATTAATAGCAACTTCCGAACCAGTTATGGTGTCCTTCAAGCCCCAGTTTATCTTTGCAGTTGGTGTACTGAGTGGTGCATTACATGGAATTCTCAACGAATACCCAAGTTTGACAGATATCTTCTTATCCTTTATAATCCCAATCTGTTTCAATTTAGCTTGCCGGAAGTTGACAAAATCGGACATTGATTTACCAAATTCGTTCTTTGCACTACACTGGTAAATAGCATCGTCCACACTCTTTGTGTACTTTATCAAAATTGTACCCGATTCATTCATTTTAACCATTCTGTCATTATATTCGCTTATATTGAAAATAACTTCATCTTTTGTCCATTCAAAACTGTATTTAATATGAAAAAATATATACATATAATATAAATTAAAACTTATAAATAGATAAAAAATAATAAAAAACATGAAGTGAAAGGTATGGTTTTGAGTCATGCATCATTGGTATATTTGTTAAAAAAACATGTAAATCGGCAAAGGTCAGTCAAGATAGCATGTCTTACTGTGTGACAATATTAAATATGTGTTCATGTTATATCACGGTGCGACGAAAACAGAAGTATTTTAAAATGATATTATCTTACCATAATACTCGATATATTGTTAGAATTTTCATTTTCATTATTCACTGAGAACGGATGTCTACAAGAGCATATCAGTACCTCAGTATATAAATTGTGCAAATATATAACGATTACATTCCTTCCTTCAAAGTAATTTAAGAAGGTCGGACATTTTTTTAAATGTTTTTTAATAAGTCACTATTTATTAATTATACAAAACATTTAACGATGTATAGTCTATTCATTTACATTGGTTTTGGAAAGCCATCAGCCATACAGGGTAGTTCCACTTGTCCTCCAGCACTGTAATATATGTAGCGAAGCGGCTGTGTGTGGATTCTTGGGGGGCTTTCAATGTCTGCAATTATGTCAAAGTGTTATAAAGACTGGTGCTTGCAGTGTCACAAATGGTTTATAAATAAGAGACAGTTAATGTAATTTGTAGTTGTAGATAATTTGGGATCTACAGAAGTGGCGAATAAAATAAAAGATATCAGAAAACCATGCTTAACTGATATATTTAACTAGGTTGTTTTTAAATTCCTGAACTTTTGCTCGATTGCAATACTAAAAGGCTGTTCTTGACGTTCAGTCTGTTTTCGGCCAATATTAGCACACTGAGATGTTTACAGCAAATACTACTATAAGAAACACATTGAGTTCTTTCCTCATTTGTGCATAAAATATCGTTACATTTACATTGTTTTTCATAGTTCTTTGCTTTGATTGTTTTTTTTTCTCTCTCAGCAACCTTATTAACTTACGATTTGTATATTTAAGGATGTTCGCTTGTCATGTTTTGGAATTTTTGTCAGATTTTCGGAATCCTCTGGTTTTATCCATTTGAATGCCTTAAAAAAATTTGCCCACTAACCCCCATATTTCTTTTTATAAATTTTTTACATGTATAATTATACGCCATCTGTAAAAGTCTTATAAAATCTTTGTTATTTTTTAATAGTTTTTGACAACTTAAACTTGTCAATGATAAAGCTATGAAGAATCAAGAGAGAACATTTTCCCGCCAAAATTTCAATGGCTAATATCTCGAAAACAAGCACACGGACCTATCTATTTTTTTCGCTCTTTTGGTTCCTTTATTAATCCCCTATCAATATATACTATTGTTATTTAAAGCTTGTTATTTTGAAACTGTGTAGCGAACTTCCCTAAAGTCAAATGAAGGTGTAGGAATATCTTAATAAAAATTGTTGGTTGATTTTACGATAATTGTTTTTTTTTTCTATTTTTGTTTCCTGAATTCTTTTTAAAGACGTGTTTGGATATTTCATATTGCGTTCAATATATACTATCAATTTAACGAGTGAAACGTTATCCTTTCTATCGATAACTTGCTTTTTATTATCTTAGCATTACTTACATTTAAACTCGTATGCAATTACGTAGTAACAGTTTGTGTCAAAAACATGTTTATATTATTTGTAAGTCAAATATGTTATAGTTGATAAATAGCAATAATATAAAGACGCTTTGATTTATGTACGAAAAGTTCAAATCACCTAAGAATAAAGTGGTACAATATATTTCTGGTGAAGTTAATCAGCGTTTGAAAAAGATATCATGCATGAAAGTTCGTATTAAATATTCGTTTGAGTTAAATATATATCTGTATAAATTAATTGTCGTTTTTATAGACAAAATAGGTAAGAAGTTAGGTAGGTAGGTAGGTAGGTAGAAAGAACTTTATTTTCATTAGCTAAATTACATAGCTACAGAGATGATACTATACACAATATAACATATTTTGCATCAGTGAAAATTACATAAAGGGCAACATTGATGTGTTGGTCATGCTCATATTGCGGTGAAAAAAATTACTCCAGGTCTTCGATTCAAACTTTTGAATAAACTTACCTAAGGATATATTGACTTTAAAAGTATGATTTGACTGGCAACGCTCATCAAACCTACTAAAAGATAAAAAGCATGGGATTGTAACGATTATTGTGTATCCTTTTGCACAAAATATCCGACCTTTTCAAAGTTTTAAGGACGCCACAACGAATTGTTGTACAGGTATCGAATATCTGTGTCACAGATGACCCTGTTTATGTTTCGATTGTAATGATCATCCCATATTCTTTTCCTAGGTTGCGACATTAGCTAATGGGTACGGATTTGTACTTGCATTAGCAACACGACGGATGCCGCATATTGAGCAAGAACTGCATATCTTCCTGGAGCACAAAATTTCACCCCGTTTCTCTTGGTAGGGTACGAGTTGGTGAGTTTTTAGTTTTTTGTGTAGTGGTATACTGACCGTTCGTCTTTTCTTTTCTTACTTTTTGCTATTTCGTGAACAGTATTTCTTTACTGTATGAGTTTTGATTGTCCCGTTAAGTGTATATTTCGCACAATCATACTATGCATATCTAACATTAAACATTCTTTTTCTGATTGAAGCAGGAGATATTAATCAAGGAGTTGGCTAGATAAAGCCCCAAAAATGATCCCTTTTTCTTAAAATTTCAAATACTTATGAATTGACAATTTTTATTTTATATCATAGCTTTAACAATAACTAGATAGGAAATACAACATAATAGATAACTTTGGTGAAAATATAAATTCAGCGTTCTTTTCATGACATCACAAATCGCACGAATTTTGGTTTCCTCGAAAATATAGGAAATCAGGCCATAGGAAGGCAAACATACCGCGAATACGTCGACACCTAAGATCTTTAGACATGACATCTTATAACACATTTCAAATCGGACATGAATTGTTCAGTCTTACTGTGCGCTCTATGTTTCCTAGGCCGAAATGTGGATGAAATACTTATGATTCTAATACAATAATTGTGTATCAATGGTTCTGATTGGATGACAGTAAGCGTAAAATTATATATCTCCTTGTCTGTAACTAAGGAAGCCGACATTAGGATTCCGGAATATTTTGAGATGTAATTTCTCCAATAATAAGCAATACAACTCGCATTTTGCACCTAGAAATCTTCTTTTTACACTCTGAGGCAGCCTAGAAGCCAGAAAACGCCCGTTGTTTACGTTTGACGCCAGAAGCATACCTATGACGTCACCTAGTTTAGAGGCCAAAGAAGATGACATCATTTCGCGGAATTTTCTTTTAATGAAAATTTTACACTGAAATAATGACTTAAATTGAATTTTGTATTTATTTTGCATAAGAATGGAGATAACTGTATTGTATTTGAAGCTTTGTTCATGTTAATCGCCAGGTAAACCCCATTTGCGACAGCAAAACTTCCGATTGACATCCGCAAAGCTTAAAATACAATACACTTATCTCTTAATTATCTCAAATTTCACCAAATTCACGATTGTTTGGCCTATTTGAAGTGTAAATTTCAATGCTTTATATTGAAAGCTCAACAAAGTAGTTCTACTGAAATTTCGTACATAGTGTATTCTTAAACTTGAAACATTGTTTTATTTTTATTTTGAAACAATAGATTCAACATTCGAGTCCATGTAGCGTCCTCAACGAATTGACGCCTTTGATTTCTGTTTCTTCGCCTATTACAAATGTATTTGTATCCTACTATTTTCATTTTAAGTATATTCAATGCTTGATTATGTCGCTGCTATGGACGTCTCTTTATAAAAATTATCACATCATTTTACTTTTAAATTGTAATTCTTCCGATCTGTTTACATACTGGGCACTGTCCGCATTTAAAAACGTTGATAAATTTTACTTTCCACGTATAGAAATGCGATTCTGATGCAATTATTTTGTATCAATGTTTCTGATTTGATGACACTCAGCGTAATATTCACTACTTCCGTGTCTGTAACTAAGGCAAGCCGACATTTTAAATTGCGGAATGTATTGACACGTAACATCTCTATTGATAGCAAAAAAACTCAAATTTTGACCTAGAAATATCCTTTTTATCAAATTTTATTACATTTGATGCAGACTAGAACCCAGATAACGCATGGTATTAACGTTTAACAACGGAAGCATACCTATGACGTCACCACGTTTAGGTGCCAAAGAAGATTACATCATTACGAGGAATTTTCGTTTATTGAAAATTATACACCGGCATAATGGCTAGATTGAATAGTTTGTTTATTTTGCATTAAAACAGAGATGACTGTATTATATTTGAACCTTTGCGGACGTCCATCGGTAGTTTTACTGTCGCAAAACTCCTTTTACCTGCCGACGCTTAGTAAACTCAATTTGCGACAGTAAAACTACCGATTGACGTCCGCAGAGCTTCAAATACAATACCGTTAATGCTCAAAGGGCCATCGTTTTGATGAACATCATTGTTTTATTTTTGTTTTATTTGTGTTATTCGTTCTGTATTTAAAAAGAGTAAATTGTTTATAAAGTAATCGCAATTGACGTAATGTATAAAGGTTTATTTAAATGAATTTGTCGTTAAAATGTTGCGTTCATATTCACGGTGGATAAGATTGTCCTGCGAGAGAACGTTCTGTGCTGGTGATTCGGTACTGACTGGTACTGGTGATCATTAAAAATATATAAACAAAGACGAAAATGACAAATTTTGACGTTTTCTCGCTTAAAAAATGGAAGGAAACAGTTGAGATGTTTTCATTTTGTTTCTTATGGGTTTATAGGCAAACAATTACAAATGTGATCCTCTAAACAGTTTCAGTACGCGTAACACAAAAGTGCTAATTTTTAGAAAAATCTAGAACTGCAAAAATAAAACAAAAATGCTCCTGGAGTCCGCTTTCTATACCCAAATTGACACGACAAAATTTTTCATGAAAAACCTGTGCAATTTATTAAAATTGTGCATTTTCTCAGTTTAGACATGTCCTGATTCTGTGCTGGTGGGTCCTGTCATTGTGCTGGTGGGTCCTGATACGGTGCTGTTGATTTTGGGTAAACAGTTGGTTATATTTGAAACAAACGTTACAGAATCAATAAAATTGGGCAGATAATTGTATCAATCTGATTTGTGACTCCTATTTTTACTTTTGTGCATCCATTTGTCTGTTTAATAAGCGTATTCAAATAATCGTAACTTATATTACATAAAAGGGCAACATCTTCCGTCCGATATCAGATGAAAATATATCTAATTAGAATAGTTTTATATAAGATATTAAATGCTCTTAAATTGATGGATCTCTACATAATGAGCTAACTAAAACAGTTTTAAAAGGTGCTTAAGGTTAAGCGACATGTATATTATAACGACAAAAAACGTTTGACTGGTTTATTTCAGTAAAATATACGAGGTTAGATGATCTTACTACTGGTCCCTCTAATTTCTTCCTGAATATATACACTGTCTCCAATACATTTCGACTGGACAAAAAAAAAGACCTAGACTTGCTTTTCATACATGACTGATAAAAACTTACTAGAATGGAACAAGTGTGAACAATTGCAAGTCAAAGTATGACCTTCAACAATGAGCAAAAACCATAACGAATACTAGCTATAAAAATCACGGTAAACGATTAAAAAATGAAGACCTTCGGCCTGATTTAAAATACAACTTTGAACAAAAAAACAAACATGACAGATAGCAAGCATCGACAACCACTGGTTTTGGGCACTCGTGACAGGGCTGAACATGTTTGTTTGCGCTCAACACCCCACCCAACCCCTCCTCCTTTCCTCCTTCATTGGTACAGTGGTGTAACAACACAACACTTAGCACACAAAAGATAACATAAAGACACAAATTATGGAACCACGAGTACTCGCAGCTACTGAAAGCTAGTTCAACTAAAAGATAAACCATGTTCTCTTAGATTAAAATCTCAATCGGTACACATCAAAAAAATTTCGCAAAACTTAAGTTTACATTTTTCATTTTTGTTTTAGCAAAACTTTAAAACTGTGCAGTGAACCTTGTGCTCACAACAGTTATTGTCATAAATATGTATACATCAGACATTATAAAGGCATGTGGAAGATACTAGGTAGTATTTTACAGTTCAATTAATTGATCATAAAGGGATGGAGATTGCATGGAGGTTAACATAGGATAAGAAGAAATTGATAGTATTTTTGGCGAAAGATTTTAAACCTTCTTTGCATTAAATTCTGAAAGTTTTCTTATTGCCGTAAATGGTAAAACTCCTCAACAAAATCTCAATAATTTGTTGGAATGAATAAAGGTTTTAAATCAAATTTTCATGGACTTTGATCCACTTTTTAGCTCCCACCCTGACGAGCCATGTGAGCTGTCGGTATCCTGTTGCACCTACCGCCCGTAAACTTTCATATTTTCATCGTTTTATCCAATTCATACGTGACAGGATTATTGTCCTAGTAACTGGTGTTACCAATGTATCAAACATTCTAAGTTAAAAAGTTCCACAATACTATATTCATTTTGTGTGTCAATTTGTTTAGACAAAACAAAACTGCAAAAAAATCGAATACAAGAGAGTATTTTTTTTAAATGTCATTATTATCTGTCGATTTCTAGATCTATGCATAGTATCTATTTCAGATGACATGAATTTCACACCCTGGTGACCCTGCTTTCCTTCATATATTCATATCGATCGCCCTTCCCTACGCCTATATCACCCTGCTCAGTCGCTCCGTAATTCTTGTATCACGGCTTTGAGACGAGAGCAGGCATTACCAGCGATGTCACAATGTCTGAGGAGAAGTTATCAGCGACGTCACAATGTGAGAGGAGACGTTATCAAGCTTGCTTTCGTCTAGCGTAAAACTGTCTTAAGGTGGGGGAAAAGACCAGTTATAGAACGATAAACAGATAATCGGGTTTTCTTCGTATAGATATCGTAAAATATCTGCCGCTCGACACAATGTGAAGCCTTTTCTCTCGTTCGCTGCGCTCACTCGCCAAAAAGGTTCACGTTGTGGCTCGCGGTTGATATTTTACGATATCAATGTGTAGAAAACCCGATAATCTATACACACATATAAATAAACAAA